TTAATTATTAAGTTGGTTTGGCAGATTTAGTTAATTTAGTTGACCCAATTGTCAAAAAACTCGCGGCATTCGGCAGGAGAAATGATAGCTGTACAAAACAATTAAAGTTTGAACATGTAGACACTAAATCGATCTCGAACTCTACCCTCGCACACCTTGCCGATACGAATCATCGAGTCGATACTAATAAAGCCTTTCAGGTTGTCTGCCGGACACCAGCTAACTTTTCCAAGGGCCTACGCCAACGGGTGCTCGCAACAGCCGAAGCAGTAGCTATACGGCTAGCGAATCCAGTGCTCTGTTGTCAGAAGACGTTGACACAAGCCCTTACACTTCCGTGACCAACATCGCGCCAGCTGGCGATCGCATTTCGCCCCCACTCACCAGTGGCAGTCGCTCACCCAACACGCCGAATTGCGCAGACTGACAAGGTCCGCAGTGGTGCCCATATCTGACAGTTATTGATTTTTCTACATGTTCAAACTTTAATTGTTTCGTACAGCTTTTTTTTTCCCTGCAAATGTTTGTCCTGATCAAGAGCTGCTGAAAACATGTGTTTGCCAGACACTGACTTTTCAAAGAAAGATTGATACTCGCTCGCTAATCCGCATTGAGTAAGGTTTTAATACTGATCATCACGTAGCCTCTTCTCAAGTCATTTTAGTTACGATAGGATGCCATCTCTTAAACGAGCTTCTTTCTGACCGCTAACAAAGGGAATGTTCCGTAAAAAATGGCCGCTTAAGTAGTATGCATTTTTATCATTGATTTTGACTACCTTTATAAATTTAAATATATTTTATGGAAAACATGCAAGAAAATATTCTTACTTGTACTCGTTTGGTAGAAAATTACGCCTTTTTAAAATTTTATACTTTAAGAAGGGGTATCCTTTGGTTTTAAAAAATGTTTCTAAATTCCGGAATAATTTTGAAACCTACCGACCTTCGAATTCGAGGTTTACAAACTGTTTACTACTACTACGCCTAGTGTGAATACCCCAGGGAAGAACAAGACAATACGCGCCCGTACAAGTTTACGTCTTTTATCATACCTGATACAGCGTACTTATGGCAATCAGAGAGTACAGATTGACCAATCAAATTGTGGCCTCAAGAGAAGGATAATATGCCGAATGGTTTTCGGGCTGAACAGAACGATAGGGTAGAACACTAATCACGACCGGCGTATTGATCGATATAATCATTCGCGCAGCTTGTACCGATCGATAGTGCACCGTGGGACGAGTAATCAGGACAGCATGATAACGGGTTGTTAAGCCTGCCCCTAACAGCTTCTCTATCCGGTCCGCAGGCACATCGATTTAAAAATTTGCGACTATGCTGAGTGGCGGATGAGGTCTTGTTGAATGACTGACTGTATTATACAAGGCAAAGATCACGAGTTTAACAGCATTTATTGACGTC